CAGAACTCTCATGCTGAACGAGATACGGTGTTTCTTGAATAAATGTTGTATGGTCTTAGGTATACATTTCATATGTTGTATATCTACGTTGCCCCTGGTCTTATGTGTCCGCTGTTTTGTCCTTTTGTTCTTTTTGTTCGTCAGATCTTGACAACAGTAGCTCTACCTTTGTCAGCTGCCAGGACCATGACGTCGTCACCCTTGTCTAAACACTTCAGGACAAGACGTCCGTTCCTGGTGACGTTAGGAGGGAAAAACGTCACGTTTTTCAGCACCCCCGTTATCTCTGTCCTTAGTCAAACATACCTGTTCTGTGGCAATCACACATTCAGTTGCGGGAACTTGGCCCGCTGTGACAGCGCATAAACAACCCTCTTGGGTTCCTGAAAGATGGTGATGTTTGACTTTTGTATGCTCGTTCTAGCGTGATTTTGCATGTTCTCGTCACGCATTCTCGTACTGGTTAATATCTGTTGCTAGGTAACGTCGACTTAAAAAGGTCACACTGTCAAAGCGTTATTGTAACATTTTAACTTTGTAGTCTAATGTTCATCTGTCTTGTAATAAGTCTTCCTTGGCCTTGTCAATATTCTTGTATAATACGTGTCTCTATGGGATATTTTACGGGTAAACCTGCCTGGACCATTCAATCGTTTTACAACGTAGAGAGGACATTGTGTGGTGTCATTAGCGAGCGATCTTACTCTCCGCGTTTCCATAATTGTGTATCTTATTCACTACTGTGGTGAAAAAGAGGAAGTAACTCCCAGTGTTAAATGAGTCAAAAAATTACTAAACCACTCCTGAATTAAAGAGTATTTGTGTGCATTCAAACGTACAAACAAGTGTTAAATTAATAAAACAATAGCTGAAAACAAATGCTAAACAAACAAAAAATACTGTTACATACAGTATACGAATTCTAGCTGTTAGACATAGTACTACAACCTGTGCCGTTTGTGTGGTCAGTAAGCTATCATAATCATATTTTACGATATCAAATTTAACTATCAGTCCCATTGGCCAAAATGAAGTATTCAAACAAAAATTCAAAGACATGTCCTGTCTCTATAGATTTGGCAGTGAAATAGATATAAACCCATCACCAAGCAGATAAAAGGGGACTCCCCTAAAGGACACCACGCGCATTCCTGGAAACACACGTGTTACTGTGCATCATTCCAGACTTATTCTATCAACACGAACATTTTGGGCCCGTATTTACGAAACCATTCGCATGCGCAAGCATCAATTCTGTACTTGACACATCTATCTTTAAACTTCTTAAATCATGAAATAGGTCTAAAACAAAACTCTAAAGGCCGAAATTATTTCACTTAAATTCCTTCCAATTATTAAAACATATTAATTCTGATACCTGATATATCGCCGAAAGTGTTGGAGTCTGATTCTGTGTGTTTGAACAAGTGTGCGCTCTCTACACCCACGGAACATTTCCTGGCAGAAGTCCCGTGACATCTCGTGGACCAGACGAGAATACCAGTTTGATCTCTCGAGGTCTCATAACGATATGGTTGCTGATAGCAAGTGAGTGCCACAACCGAAGTATTGAGAATGACACTTGTCCTGGAAACTGGTGACTGCGGCGAATTTTATTTTCATTGCTTACTTTTCCCTTTTTGAAACTTAAAATGCCAATTATTTCTATAGTTTTTTATCTTTCTTTTAAAATAATCCTGTCCTCATCTTTTAAGCTCAAACACATTCCATTCATGAAATAGTGACTACGAGTTATTTCCCTTCGACCAGGAGCGTTTAGTTTTAAAAAGCCGACATTTCTATTCACAGTTACAACTAGTGTCAATATGTGATGGTCTAAGTATGGCGTTATCACCACTTCAAATAGCAATCACAGACAGGAACACACAACACATCAGTTACTTCTACAAGTATTTAATCATTTTTTAACAAGAGCAATTTTTGATTAAATGCACTTCATCTGTATAATAAAAATATGTTGTTTCTTTCTGAGAATACGTTCAACAACGAGAACAATGATAGATAATATGTTTATATAAAAATACACAAACTGAGATTGTAAGTCTCCTGATAAATCACATTTATACAGAACAAAAGTTGGCGTTTGTACAAGGTGTATATTAACCCCCTGCTGTTCAACCTACACGTATTACCATATATATAAAACATCCCCCAACAGTTTAAAAATCTTCACGACGCAGTTAATTTTGAAATTCTATTTTTCACTTCTTTAATTAATATCATTATAATGTATTTGGGTTCCAATGACAGCTTTCATCTTAACCAGAAGTAGCTCACAAGACATGACACCAATACATTAAATTTTAAGGAATTCAAATATTGATATCTCTTATTGATTTTAATTAAAACATATTTTATTGTCATCAAACAACCGGGATTATGCACAAGTTAGAACAACTTAGTGAAGCCTTCTCCCGAATATCTCTTAATCAATATTACGTTTGAAAGCGACACAAAAATATCGGATGAGTAAACGAAATTCTGATAGGTATAAGGTACTGGACTGTGTTACTCTATAATCAATGTTACGTATAGTTATGGAGAAAGGGATAAGGTGAGTGGGTAGGGAAAAACTACCTGGGGGGTGGGGGTGGGGGGGGGGGGTTGGGTTGGGTTGTAGGACTGGGTCACAACTAGGTTATTTCATTCTTTCTTATATAAATGAATCTAGAGGCGGTGTTTTTTTATTATTGTAAAATATGATAATTTACCCCCATGGATCAAATAGGAGGAGGGAAATTCGAAGTCCTCCTCGGCTGTCAAGCTTGTACCAGACACCTAGAGTGTGAAACGACTTGTGTACGTCACGGATATCAGAATCGGAAGAGGGGGAGAGGAGGGGGTTAATCTTTCAACATTAGACTTACAGTCTTTACTAATATAAAGGTAAATGACATTTTCCAAGGTAGATGATTTGGATTGCATATGTTGATATAATCAGGAACTTCGATACGCATTGTACATCAAAATCTGTGTATGGCACGCTAGTTAAAGAAGGGGAGGTAACTATAACAAAGTGTAGACCTGTTGTATACAATGTTAGCATTTTACGAAGGAGCAATCCCAATTGTAATGATGATTTTGTCGCACAGAATATATACAAGTTATTTAATTAAATTTTCGATATCACAACTTTATCACATATCGAAAATTTGTTTTATATTTATCATAAGAACAATATCTCTTGTAAAAAAACTTTATAAAAAATATTTCAGATAATTTTTGACATTTTAATATATCTTCATATTTTTCATGGTTTAATAAAACATTGTATTTTATATCGGCCAGACAAATCTTGGGTGTAGAAAATTACACGAGATATTTTGTTAAATCTTATCTATATCACATTAATAGAATGAGAATTGATACGGTCCAGTCCTATGTCTTGCTATTCATTCAACTTCCTATGAATATTTAGATCTACATCGCTACATCAACATGTGTAAACAAAGCCTGCCAAAGGCAAGCACTGAAATAAATAAACTTTGTAGTGTGTTATAAAACGTTTTGTTAAGACCTCTCTGTATATGTTTAAATATACTCTAACAATCGCGAACACTGATAACCGTGTAAGTGTTTTTAAACATAAAATACATTATAACATGGCGTTTTCTGATGTGAAACTGACATAGGAAATCAGACAGCGCTTCGCCTTAAATAGAGTAATATACATGTTCGATTTTCATTTTCGCACTGTTACCTGACAAAGCTACGAAAAACATACACATACTAATCCGTGTTCGAAACATGATGGTCAAACAAAGATATGTATCTAGAATAGGTTATCGGTTTTGCATAGTCACTTTCGATAATTTTTTTTAAAGTTGTCTCCCTTACTTCAGACAGCTTTGTCATGGTCATCAGTTACATAGTGCACCCCAAGGAAAAATTAAAACATAAAAGTATAATGTTATCTTCCATTTGAAATCTGAGTTATATAGCAAATATAGGGTACATTGTTAGTAATTATATACATACCACGCGTACAAATGGATGGGTAGAGTGTCGTGATAAAATTACCCATCTTAAGTAGTATTTTTGTCCCGATTAATTCAGACCTTGTCTCCTCATCTGTTGTCACGAAAAATGTACTCGACTTACAACTATACTTGTTTCGGACAATATGACACCACGTGATCGTACTTGTCAGGGATGACATAATCACAACCTATATGCCCCCCCTATGTCACCATTTTTGTTGGTAGGGGTAACACTAATCACAATCACACAACATGACCATACTTGTCGTCAGGTATGACGTAATCACACAACATGACCAAACTTGTCGTCAGGTATGACTTAATCACACATGACCAAACTTGTCGTAAGGTATGACGTAATCACACAACATGACCATACTTGTCTTAAGGTATGACGTAATCGCACAACATGACCAAACTTGTCGTAAGGTATGACGTAATCACACAACATGGACATACTTGTCGTAAGGTATGACGTAATCACACAACATGGCCATACTTGTCGTCAGGTATGACGTAATCACACAACATGGACATACTTGTCTTAAGGTATGACGTAATCACACATGACCAAACTTGTCGTAAGGTATGACGTAATCACACAACATGACCATACTTGTCTTAAGGTATGACGTAATCGCACAGCATGACCAAACTTGTCGTAAGGTATGACGTAATCACACAACATGGCCATACTTGTCGTAAGGTATGACGTAATCACACATGACCAAACTTGTCGTAAGGTATGACGTAATCACACAACATGGACATACTTGTCGTAAGGTATGACGTAATCGCACAACATGGCCATACTTGTCGTCAGGTATGATGTAATCACATACTTGAATGCCGGAAATCGTAATAACATCACGTGACCATAACTAAATCACACCATGGCGTACTTGTTATTACAACACAGGTAACTGATTCTGACATTTTGGCCATACTTGTCAACGATATTTATATGATAAACACAGACCTTTCATAGGCCTCATATGACTACGGTAAGTAGCCAAGCTGCTGCTCAAAGTTTGTGTCTGATGTCTTTGTCTTTTCGTTCGAGCCTCTCTGGACGTTCATGTTATAAAACATTTCGGATAATTCGTTACCTCCCCCTTTACGATCGGAAGCGTTGTTAGAATGTCCATACGACCCCCTATCGCTATTACTATCGTCACTTGCGTGCCTGGCATACTTTTGGAATTCACTGTCAAATGACCAGGGTTTGTCTGCATCACCTCCACTTTGCTTATGTTGAGAAGAACGATTTTGCTTCCGGTACATGTCACCGTAATCTGCATCATACCGTTGGTCTCTCTCGTGACGCGGAACTATATCCGGAGGCGCATAACCGCCAGGACTTGGCTTTCGAAAATCATCGTTGTGCCCCCCGTAGTCCCATTTATCTTTGTCGGATTTAAAGTTTCGTTTTTCGTCATAAAATTGTTCTCTCGACATTGCGTTATCGTACGGATCCTCTTCATCGTCATTAAACCGTGACGGCTCTGCCTCTACTTTTTTTGGAAGGGCCGCCATAAGACCTGTAGGTAAGACTTTCACACCAAGCACGTGATTTGGAGGGACCTTAGCAACAGGTTTGACTTTGGCAGCTTGTTTTTCCTCAAGCTGTCGACTTTCGAGATTTGAGGCAGAATATCCTGGTTCCTGTCTTGGTAAAGGTCTGGACGAAGTGGGTGATGGAGGACTATCGAATGGTTGCCTTGGTAACCCTGGATGTCGGGAAGATGGAGGTGATCGCGGTGATCGTGGGCCAGGCGACAATGCCCGGGAGGGCTTGGGTGCAGTGGACGGCGGTTCTCTATATCTGCCAGGGGACATAACTCGCCCAGCACGACCATCTTCTCGTGTTTGTGGCCTAGAGAAACGCTCTCCGTGCCCGTGATCGGAGTGTCTATCACCACGGATTATCTCCCCTCCGTAATCAGAGTGTCTATCACCACGAATAATTTCTCCAGATCTTTGTCGTTCGTGTATAAAACCATTGTTGTCTGTTCTATGGGCTTCATGATAGCCACGCGAACCACTGTCTCCCGAGGACTGGCGCTCATGCAAGAAATGTCTATCTTCTCCCGACAATCTATTTCGGGTTGGAGGCCCCAAATCACGTGATGGGGGTGCTAAATCACGTGATGGTCCACCGAAGAATTGCCTACCATCTCCCAAGTACCTATCTTCCATGGGCTGCTCGTCACTGACACGACGAACAGGTTCCTCCCATCCGTCCGAACGTCTGTTCTCGCGATAGTATATGTCCGCTCGAGGTCTGTTGTGATCTGGGCCATGACCCACAGGAGGTCCATTGTGGTAATCTCCATACTCACCATAACTGCTACGTAATATATCGGGGTGGTGACCCCCGTAGGCAGGCCCCGAGTATTCACCAAAGCGATTCTGAAATGAAGGTTCACGTTCGAATTCTGGCTGGTGCAAACCTCTGAACATGGTAACAAATCTTAGCGCCTGACCATCGCTTTCTGCAATAAAGCAGTGGCATTCGAGCGCACGCACTCCAGTGGTTCGCCTCATGACGCAGGCCAGCATGGCAGGGTGATCCATTTTCAACAGGTTGTAATTCTTCTTATCCAAATGGGAAAACAGATTATCTGCGCCATTGGTCAGATTTCGGTTTTGTTCAATCGGCAAAAACCCAGCCCCCATTTTTTTGTCCGGACCCTTCCTGTATATGAAACGAACGGCTTCAAACAGATTGATTGAATCGAAACCATAGAACATCTGATTAGCCTGTCCCGGGGGAGCTCCTGGAAACAACACTGTCAGACCATCACGATTAACCCTTAGTATTGCCTCCTGACTAAGTTTTTTGTTCTTTGTGGCTTTCCGGAATTCTATATACTTCTCCCGTAGTGGTTTTTGGATTAACCCTAGACCGGAAGTGGTTGCTTTAGAAAGGGTAGTACAGCCGAGATATTCAACCGTGAACTCGCCGTCCATTGTGCAGAATGGGTACCTCCACAAGCGCTCGCGGGGTAGAGCCGTCAGCTGTACTGTCGCTTCTGAAATAAGTAAATTGAAGATTTAATTACAGCATAACAGTATAACATTAAGAGAGTGCCGTTGTTACGTAAAAAGTGGGAAACAGTAGCAGGCGCTAGTTTGACGATAATAGTAATAATCCCTAATTTTACAACAGTAACAACAGCTAATTCTTAGACAACCTAGAAACAACTAATTTTATGACAACAGTAACAACCGCTAGTTTTACTACAATAGTAACAACCGTAAGATTTACGACAATAGTAACAAACGCTACTGATACGACAATAGTAGCAAACGCTAGTTTTACGACAATAGTAACAAACGCTAGTTTTACGACAAAGTTACAACCGTAAGATTTACGACAACAGTTACAATCGCTTGTTTTACTATAGCAGTACAGTCGTTAAATTTATGACATCAGTAACAGCAGCTAGTTTTATTTATAGCAGTTATAACTGCTAGTTATCAAAACATTGACAATCGCTTGTTTTACGACAATAGTAACAGCCACTAGTTTTACGACAAAGTTACAACCGTAAGATTTACGACAATAGTAACAAACGCTAGTTTTACGACAATAGTAACAATCGCTAGTTTTACGACAATAGTAACAAACGCTAGTTTTACGACAATAGTAACATCGCTAGTTTTACGACAATAGTAACAAACGCTAGTTTTACGACAATAGTAACAAACGCTAGTTTTACGACAATCGTAACATCGCTAGTTTTACGACAACAGTAACAATCGCTAGTTTTACGACAATAGTAACAAACGCTAGTTTTACGACAATAGTAACAAACGCTAGTTTTACGACAACAGTAACAATCGCTAGTTTTACTATAGCAGTTATAGTCGTTATGTTTACGACAACAGTAACAACAGCTAGTTTCACATTTACAAACGCTACCGCATCTCAAATGATGAACCGCTTCCTTCAACCCAAATAACTGCTCCCTAGACTCAAATCACACATCCCTTGACTCAAGTAAATATCAAGAAATAAAATACAATTAACATTATATGCTAATTCCTTTCACCAGATCCCAAACAGACGGACGTCGGAATCGTAATACTGTTAACCTGATCTGAAATGTGACATTGATGAGCTGACTTTGGGTTTTAAATAGGTAAGTAATACTATATATTACAATGACTGGACTGTGTTTATATCTATATGTGGTAACAGCCATAATACTAAGACCTTCAACGTCAATTTAAAACAAAGGAATGACGTCAACTATGTAACAAAATGGTATCCATCCACGAAAGCATTAACATATCCAGTGAGTAGAGACAGAAGTTGGTGATTAACAACACTTCAATAATAATACTACGATTACCAAACGTTATACCTCAGGTATCCTAATATATCACACATGTACTGTTACCTGTATAGAACTACAGGTAATACAATACATTATACAAGTACTGTTACCTGTATAGAACTATAGAACTACAGGTATTACAATACATTACACAGGTACTGTTACCTGTATAGAACTATAGAACTACAACTATTATAATACATTACACAGGTACTGTTACCTGTATAGGACTATAGAACTACAGGTATTACAATACATTACACAGGTACTGTTACCTGTATAGAACTATAGAACTACAGGTATTACAATACATTACACAGGTACTGTTACCTGTATAGAACTATAGAACTACAGGTATTACAATACATTACACAGGTACTGTTACCTGTATAGAACTATAGAACTACAGGTATTACAATACATTATACAAGTACTGTTACCTGTATAGAACTATAGAACTACAGGTATTACAATAAATTACACAGGTACTGTTACCTGTATAGAACTATAGAACTACAGGTATTACAATACATTACACAGGTACTGTTACCTGTATAGAACTACAGGTATTACAATATATTACACAGGTACTGTTACCTGTACAATAGTACTACAATACATTACACAGGTACTGTTACCTGTATAGAACTACAGGTATTACAATACATTATACAGGTACTGTTACCTGTATAGAACTACAGGTATTACAATATATTACACAGGTGCTGTTACCTGTATAGAACTACATGTATCCTAATATATCACACATGTACTGTTACCTGTATAGAACTACAGGTATTATAATATATCACATAGGTACTGTTACCTGTACAATATTTCAAGTACTACAATACATTATACAGGTGATAAAATATCTTAAACAGAAAAAATGCTGTGATCTAGTAGTGAAACAGATCTGTTATAATATATTGTGGACGATATATACTCCCGTCTGTTGGTACATATGTATAATCTGTATATCATTAACACGTTTATATCAAGTTTAAGGCGCGTTATGAGGTAAACTCTCCTAACGACCAGTGAAATATTTACATTTTTTACGACTTTCAACCTGGCCTCTCACTTGAAACGGTACGCTGAGAGTGTAGAACACGATTACACATAAAGGCCATACGACAAGGTTTTTTAAACTTTACCACTGAATACATTTGTATATGTCAGTCTTCTCGAGAAAAATGTTTTTTTTTTCGCCTGAATTCTCATATATCTATAACCCACAGTAAGACAATACCATAAAGTATAATAAGCTTTATTTTGCACGAGTTCCCGATTTAGTGATAACGTAAAAGTTTATACAAAGAAACGTGAATCACACTTTCTAAATGTGTATAGATCTATCAAATCGCTTATGACATTAATATTTTCGTCAAAACTGAATGCTAGACATTAACTTACATAAAAGCTGTGAAAACTCATTTACAATTAGACGACAATATAACTGAAGAAAATGTAAGAAATCATGTACATCTGAATCGAAGAAATCATTAATGGTGCCATATTGAATTTCAAGCACATTGATGGCCATATTGAATTTCAAGCACATTGGTATTTCAAGCACATTGGTGGCCATATTGAATTTCAAGCACATTGATGGCCATATTGAATTTCAAGCACATTGGTGGCCATATTGAATTTCAAGCACATTGATGGCCATATTGAATTTCAAGCACATTGGTGGCCATATTGAATTTCAGCTCGTTCTCGAGGGACAGATGTTAGCTCGTACGTCGGAGAGAAACTTCTTAGTTTGTACCTATGAGTGGATCTTATCCCGTACCAAGGAAGGGTCCGAGTTCTCCATGTAAAAGGTGGAGTTTAGACCGTTATTGCTGGAGGGGAGGAACTTTACTCATGCATGTATCTGGAAGGGTGGGTCTTATCTCACCTGTATTGGGATGAACTTAGCTCATACCTGTAAATATCTTAGCTCATACCTGTAATTATCTTAGCTCATACCTGTAATTATCTTAGCTCATACCTGTAATGGGATTCTCTTATATCATACCTATGAGAAGTTTATTTTAGCTCATAATAGTGAGCTCAGAGGAGATGAGTTAGTATATGCCCGTGAGGTGAGGCTCCCAACCGGTACCTGTAAAGGTAATCTTGATAACAATGCTACCTGTAAGATATATATAGCGACAAGTCAGTCTAGTACACAAAGCCGTCACAATGCTACCTACAATGTATGGGTGTCGTCCCAAATAAACTTAAGGTAGTTCACACAGGCATATCCATTTATGTGAATAATGAATGCGTATAAAAGGTAGGTACACTGTACATGTACCCGCCATTCAATACATGGTGGATACACGTGATGAGTGATGACTAGTGAAAAAATAGGTCAGGAAAGGGTTACACTGATAGGCAAACCCTGTCCCATTAACAGATTAACAGTCACGATAAATGTATCCCAACACACCCATTATGACTATTGACAATTCGGTGTAAAATATTTAAGGTGTAACATCTATTAACAATATACCAACACTAAACTCTAGTCAGAAATACAATGGTGTAAAATCCGGATGCGGTCACTTGGTTGTGACATACGTAAAATAATCGGATGTGTGATGTATGTTGTTTTTGCTTAATGTCAGAATATCCATGTATCATGACAATTTCTCGTGATATTTTGCACCATTCCCCTAATTGTGACACATACAATGTACAAACCATATTTACTATATGTAAGATTCGAATTTCGGAAACGCTAACACACATTCGCATCCTCTCTACCACATCACACACCACACACACACACTCACACACATACACACATACACACCAGAGAGGTGGACACACACACCCACCTGAGAGGTGGAGACACACACACACACACCAGAGAGGTGGACACACACACACACACACACCAGAGAGGTGGACACACACACACACACACACACACCAGAGAGGTGGACATACACACACACCAGAGGTGGACACACACACATACACACCAGAGGTGGACACACACACACAACACACACACTACACATACACACACACACAACACACACATCTTCTCACATACTACACACAACACACACACACACACACACACACAACAAACAACAACGCACACACGCTGTCTTCTCATTACCTTGCACTGAACAAGTAGTCGGATTAAGTCTAAAGGTAATAATTTCTACTCGGGTCACAAACGTCACATGTCTAATATCACAAAAGTACAAGCTTGTTCTCACCTGTCGTATCGATCTCCACCAATAACAGGTACTGTGTATTTACTCAACGCTACATCAACACGTGGTTCTGTCTACCCAGTCACATACATATGTACACCGAAAATCAATACCACACACCAAATATGTAATACAGTAGTGAAATAGACAACGCCCAAGACTAACAATCACCTAACATACCTACCCGTTGCCGGAAGTCAGGACTTTTATCGTCAAATTACAAAACAGCACACTCCTTCCATTCGTGTTTAACAAGCTGAATAAACATGTGTGATGACATGGTGAAACGTATATCCATGTTTTGTATTTCACTGGTACGTCATGCCTTTAACAACAATCGGAATGTCAGATGTTTAGGAATTACCGGGATTTAAATGACCACGATTTACCCTAGAGATATTCT